GAGCCCCATACATGCTACCACTCTACCACTGAGCTAAACCCCACCCACTGAACTATGTTCATTCACTTCCAGGTATCTTTGTCCTAAGAAGCCTACTATAATTAAGTAAAGCATACAATTGCAAGAGACAAGGGGAAAACAAAGGGGAAGGAGGGGATGAGAAACAACAGACATTTTCGACAGGAGGCTAAGAGAGGTCACATTGAGAAGGTGTCTAGAGTAAAGACAAGGAAAATGAGAGAGTGGACAAAACATGTGGTGAACACCTGTAATCTCAACTACTCGGGAGAGAGCAGGATCAAGGTCCAAAGCAAAAACATGAAACCCTGTCTGAAAAAGTAAACAAGGCAAAAAAGGGCTGGGGGCATGGCTCTAAATCACAGAGACAAAACACCAGAAAGAAGACAGAAGGTAGGTGGTAAACTGGAACCGAAGAAGAGACAGATACAGACTTGGGGAGAACTGATGAGATTATTAAAGGCTGAGCATAGACAAATTCTCAGATTGTAACTAGAATCAGCGGAAGGTGGGAAATTGCGTGCTAAGCATTAGAAATTGTCAAGGGTAGAGCCTCACTGAAAGGAATAATCAATATAAAAATGACAGACAGTAATCAAAAATAACCATTGGGTGTCTTTAGCAATCACTCAAAACAAATACATTAAAATCTCAAACCATATGCAATGCCAAATGCTAACAACCCATGTAGATTCTATAAATAAGAACACATGTATTTCTCTACCATTGACTTTTGGTCTGTATTTAACTAATTTTAGATCTGTCAAGCAGTTGGCTCTACAACTCAAATGAGTTCAGATCACAGTAACTAAACATTTCAAAAATGAAACATACATAAAACAAAGCTATAGGAATTACTAAGGAAAGGCAGAAAAGAACGAAAGGAAACAATGTGTTAAAAACTCAGGACAGGAGAGAATAGGACATACATTTATTAAAGTAGTAATTAAATTATGATGCCTGAATGAACTTCCTATTATTCTAAAACATACATCACTGAATTTTTTAAAAAATCTATTTTTTCTGATTGAATAGAATGTATTTAAATATAAAGAGCTATAAAATATATTACTTTTTAAAAATACAGGCTCACTGAGAAAACTGAAAAGTATCACCCAGAGTAACCAGTGGAAGGGGACAACATGGCTGAGTACTCAAACTTGAGAGTTTTGCCTTTCTATTTAGAGTAAGGAAGTGACATTTCACCTGCAAGAGGAAGAATATATTTGGTTTACAGGTGGGGCTGGCTAAAGAGTCACATAAACCACAAATGTAATAAATGCTTATTTTCCCATAAGGAGTTCAGTGAGATCATTTTCAACTGGCAAAGCAGGTTTTGGCTTTACCCGGTGGGGGAAATATTTGACCTGCACAGTGCAACAAAGAAATAACAAAGAAAAAGAAAAGAAACAGCAAATGACCCTGGGCCAGATGTAGCAAATGAGTCTGGACCAGATGACATACATCTGTAATTGAGGCCAGCCCAAGCAAAAAGTTAGCAAGACCCCATTCTCAACAAACAAGCTGCACATAGTGGAACATATCTATCATCCCACCTATGTAGGAGAGATAGGTAGGAGGACCAGGGTCCACGCTAGCCCTGGGCAAAAAAAGCAAAAGACCCTATCTGAAACATAACTAAGGTAAAAAGGGCTGGAGGTACCAAAAAAGAAAGAGCAAATGGGAAAAAAAACAAAAACAACAACAAAACCCACCTTTCCCATAACTCCCCTCTTCACTCTTCTGCCTAAAAACAGGATATAAATTATTTACTGGACACAACTCTACATTCTTCTCAGCACAGAGACGGCACTGGAGGAAATGTAACGCGCCTGCCTCCATCAAGTTCCTACCATACCTTTACCTTGCCACACTTTTCCAATCAACTTGCCACAAATCTATTGTTCCTAAAGATGCTAGACAAGCAAGAATTCTTTCTTCCTTTTTAAAGTGTTAGCAGGGATTTATTTTAGTATAACATGATAAAGTATGGAGGGGGAGGAAAAGAAACATTTCTTGTTCTCCATGCAGGAAATGGGAGCAAAAACTCTAAGAGTTCTTTGTCTTTGTTTTACGAATCCCTTTGTTTTTAGCTCAGGTTGGCCTTGAACGTGTGAGCTTCCTGCTTCAGCCTCCTTAGTGCTGGGATTACAGATATGTACCACCCACACCTGACATCTAGAGTTCTAAGTTGATTCTTTTAAAAAAAAAAAAAAATTGCAGTGCTAGACATCAAACCCTGGGCCTAGTGAAAACTAGGCAAGTGCTCTACTTCTAAGCTGTACCCACAACTCTAAGATACTGCCTTGAGTAACTTTTTTCCCCTTTGGCAGGCACTGGGGCCTTACGCTTGCTAGGCAGGTGTTCCACTACTTGAGCCATTCCACCAGTCCCTTTTTTGTGTGTTGTGTATCTTCAAGATGGGTTTTTTTGCAAACAATTTGCTGGGACTGGCTTTGAACCTCAATCCTCTTGACGTCTGCCTCCTGAGTAGCTAGGATTGTAGACGTGAGCCTATAACCGAGTTTTTGGGGTCTCGAGTATTTGCCCAAGATGGGTTGGAACCACTATCCCTCCTATTTACACCTCCGAAGAAACTGAGTTGACAGGAGCAAGCCACCACACCCAGTTTATTGGTTAAGGTAGGATCTCAATGACTCTGCTTGGGCTGGCCTACAACTATGATTGTCCAGCTCTCTGCCTCTCAAGTAGCTGGGATTACAGACATGAGCCACCAGCACCCAGGCTTTGAGTTACATTTTACTGAGGTTTCTCCCACATGATACATACTGCCTCATTAAAAAACTTGTTTCCCTATTGTTTTTAAATTTTTTCTTTTTGAGACAAGATCTCACTATGTAATCCAGGTTGACCTCCAACTTGTGATCCTCCTGCCTCACCCTCCCAAGTGCTGGGATATAAGTGTTCCCATCATATCTGCCACCTATAACCCTTATCATAGATGTCCCAACTAAGAACTATGAGAAGTTGAAGAAAAAATTATTTTTCCTCCCTGACATGTATATACAATTATTTGTTCAAGTATGTGAATAGCAAAAAAATATATCAACAACCTAAGATTCCAATAAAAGGGAATCATTTAAACACTGGTGCATCCCCATAATGAATTATTATTATTGAAGAAACAAATTTTTCTTTTCTTTGCAGGCCTTCTTTTTGTTTGGCAGTACTGAGGTCTGAACTCAGGGCTTTGAGCTTGCAAAGTAGGTGCTCTACTGCTTGAGCCACACCTCCAGTCCATTTTACTCTGGTTATTTTTGTTACTATTTGGTGGTTTTGTTATTATTTGGTAGGGTTTGAACTCAGAATCTTGTGTTTGCTAGGCAGGTGCTCTACCACTGAAGCCATACCCCCGGCACTCTGATTATTTTGGAAATAGGGTCTCTTGAAATATTTTCCAAAAATGGCCTCAAACCACAATCCTGCTTATCTCAGCCTTCCAGGTAGCTATGATTACAAGTGTGGTGCCTGGCTGGGGTTTGAACCTAGAGCCTTGTGCATGTGAGGCAAGTGTTATACCATTGAGCTACACTCCTCAGTACTATATATACATGTGGATATATGTATTGTTTTTGGTGGGACTGAAGTTTGAATTCAGGGCTTCACACTTGCAAAGCTGGTGCTGTAACTGCTCGAAGCACACCTCCAGTCTATTTGGCTCATTATTTTGGAGATAGGGTCTCTCAAGCTATTTGCCTGGGCTGGCCTTAAATCATGGTCCTCTTGATATCAGCCTCCCAAGTAGCTAGGATTACAGTTGTGAACCACCAGCACCCACCCAATAATTTTTTTTGGACAGGATATCTCTATGGTCCAAGGCTGACCTTGAGCTCCTCATCTCCTGCCTCAGTCTCCCGAATTCTGGGATTTACTCTATACCCCAATAATCATTTTTGAAATAAATATACGTAGGTGTATTCACAATAAGGTAATGAAAAACAACCCATTCAAAATGATCCCACTTCTATAAACACATATGAAATCTACTTATGCTGGAATTCACAATTCTGCACATGTCATATCTCTCCTTCCAGTCTACAGCACAAGGCTGGAATAGCATGGGGGAAGGGGTGACTGTGCTCAGGCCACTGTCCCATGAATGGAATCATCACAATGAAATTCCCTCGTGTCATTAGTGTACGCTAATTCAAAAACAAAATCAAATTTAAAAACAGACTGGATTGGCTAAATTGCTAGTTTACGTGTTCTGCTCAAGGTATTCTGAAGTTACTTCTGAAAAAGGATGTGTCACATACTGGCCACCAAGTCTGTCACCAACACTTGAACATTTTCCTGTTCTGATACTCACTTTACCATCACCTATGCCCATAAAGCCCTGTGAAGGAACCTCCCCACTGCCCATACTCTCCTGAGAAAGAATGGCCTCCTCCCCTTACTTAGAAGTTCCCAAGCCTCCCAATGGAGGCAAAGAGTTTGCTAGGGAAATGATGAAGGATCTGAATTAGCAAGCTAGATGCTCCAGTTATGTACCCTGTTACACACATATTTGCTAAGAAAAAGGTCTGGCAGCATATACACAGGTTGTCAACAGTGGCTATCTTTTAGTATCCTGGAAGTTTTTCCTTTTCTTTTTTACCTCTTTTTTTTGGGGGGGGGGGTGGTACTCAAGAGCTCATGCTTGCTAGGCAGGTATTCTACCACCTGAGCCATACCCCAGCTGTTTTTTGTTTTGTTTTGTTTGTAGTACTGAGAATTACTTTTTTTTTTTTTTTAAAGCCAGTGTCTTGCTGTGTAGCCCAGGCTGGTCTAGACTGATAGGCATGGTGTGCCACCAAGCCCAAATCTGTGTATCTTTCTTATCTGTGATTTTTATAATTTTTTTCAGGATTTGTTTTTGAGGCAGGTAAAGAACAATTTCTGAGTTAAAAAACTGACAAACATTCACAGTCATTTGGTCTGTAATTTGGCTCGGCAGTTCTTCCTGCCCCATTGGTACTTACATTCCTGAAGACATTCTGTGTCTGTGCAGTAGGACTGGGACTGCCGCAACTGCAGTGAAGAAGAAAACAAGAGTGAGATACTGGACGCAGCCAGAAGTGGACAATAATTATTAGAAAGATGATGTATGTTTTGGGCTGAGGAGGAAGCTCAGTGGTAGAACATATGTCCAGCACGCACCGAGTCCTGGGTTCAATCCCCAGCACGGGGGGCGGGGTACCAATTGATCATAATGTTCACCTATAACCTCCACACTCAGGGTACTGAGGCAGGAGGATCATGAGTTTGAGGACAGCCTTAACTATTTAATGGAGAGATCCTATTTCAAAAAACCAAGTGCTGGAGCAGGGTGTGGGTGGCTCATATCTGTAATTCTAGCTCTCCAGGAAGCAGAGATCAGAAGGATCACAGTTCAGGGACAGCCCTGGCAAATAGTTTGTGAGATCCTATCTCGAAAATACCCAACAACAAAAAAAGGCAGGCAGAGTGGCTTAAGGTTAGAGTGCCTGCCTAACTAGCATGAGGTCAAGAAAGAGGGAGAGGGGAAGGATGGGGAAGTGTGGGAGGGGAGGAAGAGGGAAGGGGGAGGGAAGAGGAAAAGAAACTGTTTCAAGTGGAATACCAACTACAACCTTCTGATATTTAGTACTGAATGAATAACTAACATCTCTACACATTTTCCAACAACAAAAATGATTTGGGGGCTGGAGGTGTGACGCAAGTGGTAGAGCACCCGCTTTGCAAGAGTGAAGCCTTGAGTTCAAACCCCGGTCCCACCAAAAAAAAAAAAAAAAAAAGATTTTGAAGGACCAAAATAACGCACACACATTTAAACAGCAAGGCTACAAATAATCAGATTAAAGACAGTCTAAATATTTTTTAAAGTCTCCCAGGTTAGGCTACCTTGCCTAAATGATATGCAAGTAGAGCGAATACTTTTGACTTATTTTGTACCTTGCTACAATACACTTTCTGAATTTGAGTATAATTACTTTACTAACCAGCTATCATCATATAATTATGGCCACGGCAGACAACACAGCATAATTTAGAGTTACACCCTAAGGTACATTCTGTTGGGATTACATATGAAGACATATTAAGTACACAGGAATGTGACTTGGAGGTCCAATAAACATACTGTGAACTCTGTAAAGGCAGCAATGGTGGTGAAGGGATGGGCAACAGGAAGGGGGATGTTAACATTCTGCTCCTTATTTTCACATTATTTCAAGCTTCCATAACCTAGATATTCACATACTATGCGTTTTTTTTTTTTTTTTCTTACAGTCTGGAAATTGAGTCCAGGGCCTAGACTACATGCCAGGCAAGTAGTCTACCACTGAGCTACATCCCCAACTTGATTATTAAAAGAAAAAAATTCCAATTCTGTAACACTACTAAAAATGAATCTGACTTTGATTTGCTAATATGAAAAGATGTATGAAAAGAAAGAAAGAAAGAAAGAAAGAAAGAAGTTACAGAATGCACTGTCTTGGTATGAACTGCCCTGCAACCCCACAAGGCTGCAGGCAACACTGACCCTGTGGCTTTGGGCTTACCAGGCTTTGGGCAGAGGCCACCTGGTCTGTTGATAGGGAGGTGATGTTCCTCCCCTTTTGAAACTGAGGTCAGATCAAAAAGAATTAACCTAGAAGGTAACACCCACGCACAGGAAATCAATGTGAGTCAATGCCCTGTATAGCTATCCTTATCTCAACCAGCAAAAACTCTTGTTCCTTCCTATTATTGCTTATACTCTCTCTACAACAAAATTAGAAATAAGGGCAAAATTGTTTCTGCTGGGTATTGGGGGGGGAGAGGGAGGGGGCAGAGTGGGTGGTAAGGGAGGGGGTAGGGGCAGTGGGGAGAAATGAACCAATCCTTGTATGCACATATGAATAATAAAAGAAAAATGAAAAAAAAAAAAAAGAAAGAAACTGAGGACACAGCCCTGATGATACTTCAATCATGCTTTCTTTGTCTTCAATAAGGCACTTTGCAAGCAAGTTGGCTCTGCCCTGTAAAATGCAAAAAGTCCAAAGCCATTCTGCAATCCCAGCCAGTCTTTTCTGTTCAGTTCAAGCTGATGCATTCCTGCAAGGGTTCCTGATTACTTTGGTGGTTCAGGTCCGTATGAATCTCCACCAATCTCTGTTTTCAAGACACTTAGTGTTCCCTTCTGCACATGTCTTCTCACTTTCTGTCACATGGACAGGCTAAGAACTTTCTAAATCTTTAATTTATGGATCCTATTTTGCTTAATTCCATGTTTAATTCATTTCTTCTTTTTTCCAACTTTTACTATAAACAAGAACCAAATCATTCCTTCGCTATTTTGCTTAGAAATCTCTTCTGCTAAAGATCTAATTTCATCATTCATAAATTCTACCTTCTACACAGTAAAACACAAATACAATTGAGTCAAATATCTGCCATTTTGTAACAAAGAATAACTCACCACTGTTTCAGAATGGCTGTTATTGGTTGGCTTTCTACCAAAATTCTGTATGTGATCATCCACATATCCTCTAAGACAATGAAAGCTTTCCGGCAGCTCTCCTCTCCTTTCTGAGCCCTCTGCCAAATTGCCTGTAATGTCCACATTTCTACCAGCAGGTTTCCACAACATCATCAGTTTGTTCTAGCATGCACCTAAAACTCTCCAGTCTGGACCCGGATCCAATTCCACAACCATTTGCACATTATAGGTGTCTGTTACTGCAGCACACGATAGGAACTTCTCAGTCCCAGTTTCTACCTTAGTTAGCTCAGGGTGCAATTACAAGTACAACAGACTAGGTGGTTTAAGCAGCAAACATTTCTCTCTCAAAATTCTGGACTGGAAAGTCTAGGTTTTGGTTTCGTGTTCATGTCATCCGGAACTGTTCCTGCCCGTCTACCTTCCGCATGTGGTGTTCATTGTCGTGTTTGTCTCCCCCTTTTTTTGTTGTTTTTTGATTGGATTTTCCCCTTTTTTTTTTATGCTACGGTGTCTGTCCTTCATTTTTGGTGGCTTTTTGGGTTTTTTTCCTTTTTGTTTTGTCTCTAACTGGAAAGGACGTACTAGCGTGCGACCGGAGCGCCCTTGGCGGGTCCGCCGGACATGGGGATCAAAGGTTCTGGCTAATTATTTCTCAAGTGAGGCTCTCTTCTTGATTCATAGATGGACATCTTCTTGGCTATTGTCTCACAGGTAGAGGAGATCTGTGTCCTTTTTTTTTTTTTTTTTTGTACTGAGAACGGAAACAGCTAGTCAAGTACCTAGTCGACTTGAGCCTACATCCACCCACCCATTGCTTGTAAATTTCCGTGGAGACAATGAATCTCAATAACTTTGTTCTGGTTGGCTTCGAACTCATGACCCTCCTGTCTCTGTTAATTAGCGTGATTTACAGAGCATGAATCCCATGCCTTGCCTTGTGTCTTTTCTTTTTGGTAGGTAATGGGTTCTAGAACTCAGGGCCCTTCATAACTGCCAAAAGGCAGGATGCTCCTACATATCGTCTTGAGCCACACCGGTCCAGTCCATTTCTGCTTGGTTATTTGGGATGGGGAGGTCTCATGAAGCTGTTTAAGCTGGGCTGGCCACAAACCATCAATCACCTGATCTCAGTCCCCAAGTAGCAGGTGTTATGTCAGGTGGAAGCCAACAGCTCCAGCTTGTGTCTTTCTTATAGAGGGCACAACCCTACTATGAGGCCTGCTACGTCTCATGAGCTAAGTCACCCTCGACCAAAAACCTCCACCCCAAAAAATTAGCACACTGGGAATTAAGGGTTCATCACACAATTTTTTTGGGGGGAGGGGGAACCACAATCATTCAGTTCAGGTTGACTCGTGTGTGTGTGTGTGTGTGTGTGGTGTGTGTGTGTGTGTGTGTGTGTGTGTACGTACTGAGTTCAAACCCCCAGTACCACCCCAACTCTCCCCCCGCCAAAAAAAAAAGTAAGATTTGAGCCAGCCTAGCTCCAGTGGCTTACACCTGTATGCCTAGCTTCTTGGGGGAGGATGTGGGGAAAACCCTCATACACTGCTGGTGGGAATATAAACTAGTACACTATGGAAAACTGTGTGGAGGCGCCTTAAAAAACTAAATATAGAACTGCCACATGATCCAGCAATTCCACTCCTTAGGGATATACTCTAAAGAATGTGAAGGTCAGGTACAAAAAAAGGGCATCTGCAACTCGCCATGGTTTACTGTCACGCATTACTAACACAGATAGCGCAAGCTAAGGAAAAGAGGCCCAAAAATTCTCGCCCACACTGATGAAGTGGGGACTAAAAAATGTGGTAGTTTATGTACAATGGAATTTAACTAGTCCCACAAATAAAAGGAATGAGAACATTTTTGTGCGATTGGCAGGCTAAATGAATAGGAAAGCGTGGGAGACACAACTATCAAGTTAAGTCGAGCCGATAAGGCAAAAAGTCCACAAGTTTCCTCTAATATGGTGGGATACACCTAAATACAAATAAGCAGTAATATTATGAAAAGAAAAGGTCACTCTAAGAGGGTAACAATATGAAAGAGTGGAAGGTAAAAGAAGGAAGTTAAGAAAGGTGAATAAGTTGATGGTACTCTCTAACAAGAAAAATCAAATTATAGTTTTAAACTGTTGAAAGTTCACCGTAAAGCAAAGGGAACGAAAAGTAGAAAAGAAAAAACACGAGATGCAACCAAGGTCAGAGTTATAATACGTTATGCATGGACAATGCTCACAGGAAACTCCCTAATGATCCTCTTCTTAAAACAGATGAAAAATCTCAATTTCTTTTTTTCATTTACAAAATATCAAGAACAGGAGCCGGTCGAATGTTCCAACAAGGTGGGGGAGTAAAGGAGTGGTACCGAATGGAAGGGGAGGAGTTGGGAAAGGGGATTGGGAGGAGGGTGCAATATACGTTTCAGAACGTATGTACACATGTACCTGTAATGCGAACATGATACCCATTATGTCCAAGTCGCGGTGTGGTGAAACTATTCAGTAATGGGGGGAGGGGTGAATTCAAGTATGATATATTTGATATATTGTAAGAACTTTTGT